TTTCCCTAAATCCCTGTCTTTCTCTGCCCGGTTTTCTAATGTCGCTCTCACATCTGCCCACTTGTCTTAAGAGTCCTCCCGGACATTCATTGAATGCAGCATCCAAAACTTGTCGCATTACATCCAACCAGACAGACTTCCAAGGAGAAAATTTCATTCAGCCAGTAACTACCAATATCACTACCAATAACGGAAAATTCTTGTTATCCACATAAATGAAGTAAACTTAATGGATTTGCCCAGTCTAAATGTACAAATGAGCTTTGTGCATTATTTGCACCAGGCCATGCAGTCTGAATTGTTATATAGGATTTTTCTTGCATGCTCCTGCTGCTTACTGTAATGGATCACCACTCTGTTTCTCCGTACTTATAAAACAGACACAAAAGAGCAATTACCTGTGTAAAATTTTCATTTACACTGAAATGAGTGTTAAGTGTTAAATTTCTGCAGCTACTTGATTTACATTATAAGCATTCAGAATTGGAAATGTTCCTTTCTCTGTCCAAAACCCAGTTCCAATCAAAAGAAATGGGAAGCCCCAGAACTGCACTTGAAAATTAGGCTCAATCTGATTGAAAGAAAAAAAGAAATAGTGAAATTCTTCCCTTTTTGTTAAACTGGACTACTCCTTTTTAACCAAAATGCAGAATATCTGTTGGAAAAAACAAACCTTCTCTTGACAACGTTATCACAGATCTAATAATTGCACAATGTATTTACTCTGCGAAGTAAATGCAATGAAAAGTTTTATAGTTAGCACATGTTAAGGACAACGCATTGGAAACTGATACTTTTACGGTAAAAAGAAGCATTATCTTATTAGTGGCCTGCGTTTCAGAAAGCCTCACTCATTTTCTTTCCTTTTGAGTGAATTTCATCATGGCAAAACATGTCAGCTTCGCAAGAGATGAAACTCCTGTTTATCCAAACACCAAGCGTTTTGGATTTGCAGGAGCATAAGCTCTCCCCCCAGTGTCCCACCGACATGGGGGCACAGCAGGAGAGCCACCACCCCTCGGGGAAGGCACCCTGAGTGCTCTTTTCAGTCCTCCCAGCTTTCTGATGAGACTGCCGAGCAGAGCTGTCAGGTTTGGGTTTTCTGATGTCCCCACTAGAAGCTGACCCCAGACCAGCAAACTCACTTTTGAGTGAGTTTGAGCAGCACTGAACTGCCATCAGGTTCACCTCTCCTACTGACGACAGGACCTTCTGACAAGCCAAGAAATGCCCTTCATGGGGCGAGCTTAGTGAAGTTACAGACAAAAACCCAGACAGCCTGGGTTGCACCTGCCTCACATTGTGCCAGTGCCAGAGGATTAGTTCATTATTCATTTCATTTCCCTTAAGTCAATGATTTTTAGATGATACCTCAATGAAGGCAAGAAGAGCAGTTTCAAGGTTGCGAACACAGGACCGGCGCACATACTGGTTTACCTTATGCCCCAGGGGATGCTGTCTGCCTGCTCGCCCCATCGCCTGGGGTGCTACCCAAGGCGGCTCCCCCTCTATAGCAAGCCTGACCATCAGCCAGGGCGGGCAGAGCAGGCTCTCCCCCCTCAAGCTGCTGAACAAAGCATGAATGAAACGTGACCCCGGGAGGCCAAGGAGCTTTGGACATCCAAAGCACCGCAAGCAAGGTGCCGGGTCCAGGCCTGCAACCTGCTCGCTCCAGGAGCAACCCCCTCCTTTGCTCCACTGGGCTTTTGGGATCAGGCCAGGTTTGATGGCCCAGTTCTCCACTGCGCCCTCAGAAGTGAAAGGAGAAGAGCAATGTGGGACACTCACCACATCTGTGTTTGTGATCTTGGCCAGGAGGTCCGTGAGGCTGTCCCCGTCATCAAGCTGAAGGCCACAGATGGCTGCTCCCACACTTCCAGTTGCTATCATTGACGGTGGGTACATGGCAAAGTTAAAATCTGCAAGAACAGATCTGGGAATTAGTCCAAGCCCAGACCAGAAAAGCTGCAAAACATCAGAGGCAAGCAACATAAAAAAACCACACCCAAGAATAAAAAACGGGGAAGTAGAAGAAAGGGCAAAGTGCCACTCTCTTTGGTCCGGCGGAGCTCATTAGTCACACTGCTCATCACAAGCAGTCAAAGGAGGGGTAACAGATCTGCAAATTAAAATGGAAATGCAGTTTGGTCTTTTATTCTTACTGATGCATAAAGTAAACCTGGACAATTTTTAATAGTCTTTCCCT